GACTAGCACCCAAAACCCTCAACTGGAAGATCCAGATAACGGAAGAAGCTCCTCAATTAGTTCCGCACAACGAGAGTTCTCCTTTATCAGTCCACTTGATGTGGCTGGAGTCACACGCGCCACCAGCGCTGTGATATCATCTAGTTTCCCGCCCATATATCGATACCCCAATTGACTAGCATGCCTAGCAAATGGGGAAAGGAACTCACGATTATGTCCATTAAGCGATGCGTGCTTGCCTATTGCCTCCGCCACTTGCTTGCATCCACTTTGCTCAACATTATCTAAGTGCTTGATTAGATCATCAACCTCGATATTATCAAGCACACCGTCACTCATACAAAGGAATACATCACCCTCCCTAAGTTGAATCTTGGCTTCCTCCCCGAGGTCCGGAGGGTCGTGGGGAAGCTGGTATGGGCAGTTGAACGAATGCTGTTGTGTGGTGGTTTGATACAATAACTTCTTCTTTCTTAAAACAATAATACCGCAGTCACCAAGGTTCAGAATAGAAGCAAAAGTATGCTCCACAATGGTTGCCATAGTCACCGGGCAGCCACCTGGCTGCGCAGCTGTATTTGCCATTTTCCAGCCGTAATTTAGAACATCCAGAGCAGAAGCAGTACCGGACTCACATACGTTTGCCTTCACCTTCTCTAAGGAAAAAGACATGACATTTCGAGTATACACGGCTGGGTCAACCCCCTGTTCGGAGTATCCACCCACACCGTCTGCAACGCTAATACCATAGGGATGTGAAAAAAAAGCGTCCTCACCCCCACGGTAGGCCTTTTGGGGGTGTGGAATGCAACATACTCCACGCTGCCCAAAAATTAACTGTTGAAACGAAACAAAAGTTGTTTTAGAAAACAGCAGAGACCTACTGTGGTGCATCGTCCTTGGTTGTCACTTATATTTGGTTCGTGATTTTGTATGCATAAGGGGGAAAAGCGATACGTAAGTTTATATTGTTGTTTTTGATTATTGACAAAAAGTAACCAGAGAATGAAAAGGATGTAAAATAAAAGAACACATCACAAAAATACAATGGTAAGGAAAGTCATGAGCGCAGTAAGTGAAAAAGTAAAATTAACTAATTGAATAGGAAATGATTCCCAAAGCAATGGCTTTGGTGTCTTTCAGATCTGAAACACAGAAATGTAAATCACGTCCCCAGAAACATTTAGACTAGCACGTACGCAGCTCTGAAATCCCATATCAAAGTTCAAGATAAGAAAGGAATAGTTTTGAGTTGGACTCAAGAGCAAGTGTTTTCTTCCTTTGAAGTTCCATCTGGGTATGTTGTGATACGAATACCATCAAAACGATCCAAGATAGAGGACCCATTTGGATATTCGAAAAGGGTGCTGCCATCAGTGCGCACAGTTGTAGTAACACCTTCTGTTTGAAATACTTTGGTACCGTCCGTACGAAGAAAGGTTCGATCGCCATTTTGGTACTGATATTCCCACGAGCCATCGGCATGCTGTATGGTTTTAGGATCTGGTGAATCGTATTGTGTGGTGGTATTAGCATTTGCATTTTCACTGGAAATAAAGGATGGCACCCGCTCTTGATCGCTTTCCTCTTTCCTCTCTTCACTCGAAGCAGAAATTTTATTAGTATCTTTTCGCTTGGCTTCCGAAGTCTCGAAATCATGATAATTTCCTTCCACTTCTGCAGCACGACCATTCAGATTTAAACCTTTGCTGTGGTTGTTGACACCATGACTATTATCGCTGTGTTTCAGAGTATTAGCGGAAATGGAGTGAGCTGTATCAGTGGCATCAGAAAGACCTTTAATGGTGTCGGTGTGCTCCTTGTAATTGCGCAGAGCCAACAATGACAATTCTTTTTCTTGCTTTGCCCGAAACTCGGAGCGTGCTGTGCGTCGCCCTGGCGAACTGAAATAATTCGTTGCTTCGATTAGTTGATTGTTAACGAAGCTCCACCGCATGGAATTCACACTCTTTTTGGCTACATTTGTTCGGATTTTATCAAGCCTTTCATCGCCGTCCTCAATGCAAACTGCGGAAAGCGGTGACAAATAATGTCGCGATGCAGATTTCATTGAAAAGGGATTACGAGCTGCTCGACTCCAAAAAGGTCGCTGGACTGACTGTGAAGACGCATGAGTAGTCGATTCCGCCTGGGTACTAAGCGCAAGTATTTCATCACAAAGATACCGCTCGGACATATTGATCAGCGCCAGTGGCCACAGACCATACACCAGCGGCACAGTGTTTGAAGGTAAATTCATAATACTGATTTTCTCCCCATCGAAGACAACCCAAGTCCGTCCAGGCGATGCTTGATTACAGGAGAAAAAAAGTAAATCATCCACGAACAATGAAAACGACCCATAATCATTTGTAAGTTTAGATAGTAGTTGCTGCGGTACCTGCTCTACTTCAAAATTTTCTCCATGGCATCTCATCTCCATATCATCACAGAAGGCCTCAGATGATAAGAAATGAACTTCTTTTTTTAAGCAAGAAACACATATTTTAGCTTGGAGAATCGTTTTGCCTGTGAGCTCCGTTAGCGGCAGCTGTCTTGAATAAAAAGGGCAACCTGGAGTATGAAAAACAGATGCCAAAGTTCTTGAAGAAGCGAATGTTGTAGCAACAACCATAGAGCCTAATGACAAACCTGATAATTCAGGAATGTTTTTCTTGACGAGCGGCAAAATTTGCTCCAATTTATGACACACATTCCGCTTTTTAAGAGGATTTTTGAGCATAGATGACTATGACGATCTAAGAGGTGTTAGCGGGGAAAAGAATACTCAGTGTACCTATGGTAAAATAACAAAAACTATTCGCAACCTGTTTGTTCACCCTCTTTAACAATGTGTGGAGCTGCGAATCTATTAGAGCAACAACAGCGATTTAAAGATACGGGGAAATAATACTAAAGAGAAGTTGACGATATCACTAGACTATTATAACCGCATATAAAACTTCATGCAATCAATAAGGATGATTCACTGGCTTCAAAGCAGTGAAATGCATCAAAATAAATTACGCATGCAAATAGCGATGTAATTACTTTTTCTCGGCTCATAAATTAAAGAAATCAATGGAATAAGTTTCCCTATTTTTCCCCCTGTTATGAGTCTGTGGATCATGTGTCACTCCGTAGAACTTTGCGGCGCGTTTCAATTTTTTTACAGTTTCATCCGAAAGAAATATTGAGTGTCTAAGGGCTTTCCTAGTCAATGCCCTACCCACACTATCGTCTCGAATGCGACCTTCAAAGTACAAGCAAAGCCACATTATAACACAATCCACCGAAATTTTATCAATCATTTTCAGTAAAACACTACCTATTACACGGTAAACAACATTCGGACCCTTTTTTAGATGCTTCACACAATTGAAGAGTCGAATAAGCTGAGTTTCGTTAACCTTCTGAAGTGCACGACTTCCTACTCGAAATACACCTTCGAAATTATCCACAGTTGCATCCTCTCGGAGCTCTTCTAAAGCTATAATGACCTCTTCAGCATCAATATCGTTTTCTCCTAAAGGAGAACGGAAGACCAGCTGTTCAAGAATCATACCTTTTCGCTCACCCGAGAATGAATTAAACATAATAAACAGATCAGCTGTCGAAATATTTGTCAAATCAACAAGATTTAAAATATTTCTAATTCGAGGATGCCCAATGATTTTATTGCGCTGTGTTGGTGTGCACAAACGCATCAGAAGAAACACATCCTTCGTTTCGCATGCGGATAAACCACTGTACGCTTCAATAATGTTTGAAGCCTCAAACTGTGGAATCAGTTGTAATGTATGAGCGGCTCTTGCTGCACACAGAATGTCATGTATTGAAGGTTTTGATTTTTTAAGGTACTTCAATACTTTTTCGAAGGCGTTAGCATCTCGAACACAGAGGTCAGACAACGTTTTCAGAATGAGTTGATATTCAAATGACAAAAAGTCTTCGGTAAGGTTACTGATCACATCTATCACAACGTTTTTTCTTATATCATAACTAGACTCACCAGAATCCTTTAATTTTGATAGGAAAACGATTTTTTCGTCTTTATCAAAAAGGCTTTTGTCCAAAAGATTCTGAACGATTCCTCCCACTTCCTTTAACTCCCCATTTTCATGTAGTTGCACCATAGAAACAGCTAAAAGGATTAAGGAATCTCGATAAACATTAAATTTGCCCTGAAAATCACATTTTCGCTGAGTAAAAGCTCTCTTCAGAAATTTCCCGTAAGCTTTTCTAACTAGGAAATTATCTACAGCACTACCTAAATGCATAAAAGCATAAAGAATATGAATTGCCTCATCTTGTCCAATTGTTGAAAGATCTAGATCCGCTTTGCACAGTATTGCAGCTTCGACAGGATAGTGGCACATACTGTTCATCGCAATGCAAGAAAGTGCTATACCTTTGGTCGTTATCGTCGAAAGACTACAGCACAGCAAAAGATCTAAAAGCAACTGCTTTGTTTTAGGCAAATTGAGTTGCGACAGGCAAGCAATTAGCTGTGCTCTTTCCTCGAAATTACTAATTTTCGAGACCATATCGATGTTTAATTTCTTTTCAATACCATTAAGCACATTAGTCAAACCTGTTCGTGATTGCATGTCTGGTGGATACTGACAAATTGATCGTGCAAGGGAAAGAAGCTCAGCGCCTGGCAGCTGAGGAATAAATCCAACAATCAATTGAATAATTTGCGGTATCGGCTCAACTTTCATATGTGCTAATATTTTTATTAAATAAACAACTTCTTTCCTTGCATCGTCGGATAATGCCTCATTGAGATACGATTGTTGAAGAGCAATCACCCAAGATTTATGTTTCGATTGGCGGTGTGTCGCAATAAGGCCAATAAGTAATTGAATTTTTTCACGAGAGAGTTTCTTTGAGGCTATGATTAGTTCCGTGGAAAGCTCTCTCAAACTGTTATGTGATAATGGTAAGTTGCATTCAGCTAAACAAAGCATTAATTCAAAAGGATCAGATGCAGCACGGAGAGAAGCAGAAACTGCGGAGCTGAAAGAATATGCTAATGGTTCCAGATCAGAATACAAGTCCTGAGGGCCACATGCGAGCCCCCAAAACGTGCGTGCGAAGGAAACAAAGTCCTCTGGTGGTAAGGCTATGATATTGTCTTTTATACGAGAAATAAAGTTGGGCTCTGAAAAAAATGTTGAACGGAATCGACTAAATGAGTTCGGATGAGTCTCTAGTCGCTTTGTTATATCCACGATCAGCTGTAGTCCTATTGAATCTGCATTCATTGCGATGAAGGATCGAATCCAACGATCATGCCTTCCACCTTCTGGGTACACACATTCGTGCATCAAACCGACAAGTTCACAACAATCATCCATTTCCTCTATAACTTCATCTAACTTCAAGTTATGCATATATGTTCGAGCTAGTTGCATCCCTTTACACGAAGCAGAACCTGCTATCCACTGTTTCAACTGTTCAGAATGTGGTCTCCATCTTGCGGAAAGAAATCGGTACCCTGTTGTTTTTAGCATTCTCAGCGAATAAAAAAAAAATGGAAAAAGAAAGCTATAGCGGGGGAAGTCAAAATTTTCATGTCACAGATAAGCTGTAGAATAAACTCGAGCCACAAAACATCAAAACTTATCTCGGCAATAAATGTACAAAGGAAAACAAAATCGAAACTTTTAAATCACTATTGTTTTTTTTTATCTATCTCTCTATGGTATGGCATAAAAGCCCAACCTGCTTGTCTTCGAAAAGTATTATGTAGAGCCCAGAACCCGGACAGGAACGTGAGTGCATCTACACCTAGTAAGATGGCTGAAAATGCAAGATCAAGCATCATAACATACGTTTGAAGCCACATATAATAGAATGCACCTATACCCCCAACAAAAAGGAGAATATTTGACACAACTATAGTCGTTCTGCACTCAGTAAGGTTTCCGCGAATACCTGTTATGACACTGAGAAGCTCGACCACTAAAACTAGAAATGTTGATACAATTTCCATAGTAAGTGCAGCTAGGGGAAACGGTAGAATGGAAGCCTTAAAAATTAGAAAGCTAAATGTAAGCAGAAACCAGACAACTGACCAAGCCAATGTGCAAAATAGAGTTACCTGAAACAGAAGGGAGCCGCCACCTATCGATTTTTCAGGGTAAAAAATGGCATTCATGTCTATTCCTTTTAGTTGATTCAAGCATAATAGTAAAGCCTTTGCCTAATTTCCTCTTTTAAAAAATTGCCAAGAAATTCAAACAAGTGAATTCATATATATATATACGCAAGGAATAAATTTAAAGATCGCTGCAACACCTTTCCATCATTGCATTACAATGATTTTATATATGATGTAAGAGAATTTAATAATTACTCGGAAAACAAACGCTAACAATGTTATAAATACTCATCTTTGCTTGAATCGTATTCACTTTCTTCATCGATTTTACAGCAAGATACGTTTCGAGGAACTGTTCTCTTGCAATCCTTTAATTTTTTAACCTCATCCGCTTTTTGATTATGACCTCTTCGAATTATATCCTGCTCTAATAGACGGACATCAAGTCCCTTTAAGTATTTGAGCTCTTCAAACTCAGACTCCTTCAAGAAGGCGTATTTACTATCATCTTCTGGGGATAACTCTTGCGGTAAAGAGAATTCAGATTCTTCAGAATTATTTCCACCTTGATATACACCCGTATCTTGCGGATTTTTTTGGCATTTGGCACAAAGAATTTGGGAACATGAGCACTCTTGACAAATACGGTGAAAAGCTAGCACTACAGACTTCTTTCCACATATATTGCACTTCCTTGCACGTTCTAAGGGTCTATACTTCCCATAATCGGCTTTCCATTGAATTATTTCACAGCACCGACGACAACAAAGCTTAGTCATTGAAACAAGGATGCCCTCGGGTATTTTCTCTTTTTCTAGCTTGTATTTATTTGGGTCATATTTCACCTTGTTTGTGTATGTTTGGCGGCAACCTTTTGCACCACTTCTAATGGTTCGCTTCATAACTAATGGCAAACATATTATGAAATAGGGAGTGGAACATAGCAATTTAGAAAGACTTGTATTTGAAGACTTTCGATTTTGATCCAATATTTAACTTTGTTCATGGATCAAATAAAAACTATATAAATATATCTATATATACATATAGATAGAATTATGCAGCACCCGTATAAAGTATTTCACTAGCAATATAAACATGGATTAAGTTTTCTAATTTATTTACCTTCAGTATTACAAAATTCCAAAAATGAAAAAAGATATCATAAATCAGAATCACTAAACAAATAAAGGCTTTCGAAATATTATTGGCGTTCTGCATGCACTGTTTGGAAGTATAGAAAAAAAAGTCATAGGTTCTCCTCTTTTAGATAGAAGCCGGTCACCTTGTCATGCTTACAAGATCCTGAGCTCTGGGTTGTGACAAAGGCAAAGTACATGCAACCTTTTCCTTTGACAGGCTGGGCTTCCCAGCTTCAGCTACAACATTTATATCAAAGGCAAAATACCACCTAAAGGAGGTCTGACATCATACTTTCGTTTGCAATCACCCCTCAGTACCTCATACCACACCGTGTGGTACCACAGATCTGCGCCAGCCTTGGTAAAAACTGAAACAGGTTACAGTCCAGATAATACCGCGATGCACAAAGCGTCAACAAACAGCCCACTTAATGATTCTTTAAAAAAGATTATTCTGTTATCGAAACGTTGAGAGAGATCACTGCCCGATAAATCACTTCCATAAAAAAAACCTGTTGGCATATAGAAACACCACTGTACAATGCCAACCGAACCTTTAGGAATGAAAATGATTTATTTGTGGAGGCGGGGGGGAACACGATTCAAAGACCCCGCCCCCTGGGCCGTTGAAATACGAAAAACATAAGCGACGGAAATGAAACAGCCTGTAAACGCACAGACTAACTGCTATTTATGTATTCATATTACCAATTAGTTTCGAAGTGTGCTTTAGCCGATATATATACTATTTTCCCGTGAAATTGATAAATGGCGCCGACCACGACTAGTCCCCGCTGCCCCCGGGGCGAAAACGCCCCCCGTGGCAGAAGAAATCCCGCATCATATTCGTGCATGTTTTTCACATATATCATACTAAAAAATACATTATATAAAAGGAAACATTTAATGCTCATGCACAAAAATATATATGTTGCCATGGCGTTGTTATACAACAACGCCGGTGACTTTGGGGATCCCCCCGCCATGAGGGCCGTATTTAAGGAAAACCTTTTTTCATAATGTTTATCTGCAATGAGCTGCCAATAGGTGTTTTTAATAAAATTCAATTTCCTGTTCGCCTATTGAATTCAATTCATTTTGTGGGGATATATACCAGGAAACCCCTGGCACACGGCGGTTTGATCAGAAATGCCAAGCATGCATGGATCATGAATATTACAAACATCAAAAAACGGATTTCCAATATAATTTGATGAAATAAATGTTAAAAAAAGAAAATAAAGCTTTTCTAGCTTTAACTTTAAAAAAAAATCGCCGAGCACATTGTATTATGAAACCAAAGAGTTGGTGCATAAAATTCTTGATCTTCTATTAGGGCTCAGAAACTTTAATGGCGCACTGGCTTTTCGAGGAAATGTCGTCATAAGATGGTATGTGTTGATAACTTTTTAATTGATAAATATGAGAAAAGTAAAAATAATGATCAGAATGAATAGGTTACTCGCAGAAAAAACGTTGGCAACAGCAAAAGCTTTTTGGCAAGTTGAGGAATTTAAAAGTAAATATTATTAATTTTGCTAATAGATTGGATCGGTGAATCGGTTCAACGATTGAAAGCCATAAAAACATATATTAATGAGGGAAAAAAGTTGGCAAATATACAGGCAGCTTGGGGATGTTTCTTCCCATTCTATCGCCACCCGTGCAACACACGCGGGGCAGAGGCGCAACGACAATAGGATATCAAATGAAAAGATTTAATTCCTGTACCAGAGCATCCATCTTCCCTCTCGAATAATATTGGTGAAGAAGAGACGTTGAGCTACCTTCTTTTTAAATTTAAGGGGTCGATTGTGTCCGAAAACTGCACCAAGTTTGATAAGATGATGGAAGGGAATTGTGGAAATTTCTGAATAGCGAAGCGCTGCTTGAATTCCTGCTGAAGATATTTGGAGTTGAACCTGTGGATAAATACGTCGGATAATAATGGAAAAAAGGATTTAATGATAGAGCCAATGCATGATATTATCGAATAAATACTAATTATAACGACCTAATGCGAAATGTTTAATTCTTTGTGGAGATTTCAATTTCAAAAATATACGAGCCATATGAAAAGCACAAAGCGAATTGTATAGCATGGTCGTATCAAAGCTAATCCCAGTTTCCACATCTGGCACTGATTTTAATAATTTTATTTTATTTTATTTTATCTCTCAGTTGATTTAGCGATACCATTGGTATCCTCTACGTGAATTTTTGCAACGTGTATTAATATGAAGAGCTTCACCAGCACGCATTTTAAACAATTCCTTAATGCCGCTGGCCCATATTTAATATGCATAAAATTTAAATAAATAGTCTACTGAAGGAGAGTTTATATGATATTTACCACGAATAAGTTCAGCTTCTATATTCACATTCGGATTGGCCATAGAAATGGGCAACGGGACCGCCTACCGAGCAATCATGCCAAATTCTTATGGTAAAATAAAGAAATTAATAGCAGGCATATGGGCGTTAAATGTAGATATGTTTATATCTACTGTTTCATTAAATAGCTAAAATTCACAAATAATGTGAGTAAAAGTAATGAATGATGAAAAAATGACAGTAAACACGGGCCCCGCGCAGCTTCGGTAGGTAAGGGACGCCTTTTCTATGGAAAGGATTTTTGGGAATTTAGATCCCCAAGCACGGAAAATGCTTAAGTCAAACTTGTGCTAAATCTGGCCGGTATCACAGAAATAAATCCAAATATTCAACTCAATACGAGTGAATAAAAAATTGTCTTAAGATTTAGTGAGAAATTGTTCTTTGATGTTTGGAAGGGAACAGCGGGGCTCATGAAGCCCGGCATTCGCACAAGTGACATTGTGGTTTTTTCAGCCATTGTGAAAATGAAGGCCTGAAATATCGGACGGCGAAATGCTTTGGCAGGGCCAAGAAAAAGTATAAGATCCTGTGGGGATAGCCTCTTGTCCTTGCGATGAAAGTTGTTTTGTTATCAATTCGCATGCGGGTAATTATATCAAACCGTTTTGGGTCGCATACCTTTTACCATGCGCGGGGTAGTGTTTTTCACAACTAAGTTCGATTAGATAGAACCCATGCTTCCGGGGAATCGGTTTCTCCTGTGCAACATGGATGCAGGCATCTTGGCTGATGGCGCGTTGGGGCCCCTGAAAATGGCTCGCCCCGGCGTTGCCAGGGCAAAACTTTTTAAAGAATTGATTTGCGTCTTTTGCGTGAAATTATGTATAAGACAGTGGGGTGATTTCATTGTGCGTGTTGCGCTGTTTTGCTGCTTCTCGTTCGCCCCCTGCGCGGCGCAAAGGGGGCGTCGTGCGGACGCCCCTGGCGGACAATCCAAGACTCAAAAAACCTTTAGCAGCTCGGACCCATCCGGGGGTGACGTACATGGGTGTGGGGCTGCGGTGCAAATTTTACTTTTCAACAATGTGTTGATCATTGTAGCCCCCTCCCCTAATACTCGCGGCGGGCGCGTAGCTTTACGGGCGTCCTGGGTCGCTGCTCCGAGTCAGCAGGGTGAGAAGCGGCCCACTCCGGCGTGTTTGGTTATGGATACTATCGAGTAGGCCGTGGTGTTTGTGTCGGGGCCTTTCCTAAAATAAATCCTATCGGTTGTGTTCGATTTTAGCAACACATCCCAACATGGTGAGGAAGGTAGTAGTGCCCAAAGTTCGAAGCGCCCGGTGGTGTGCTAAAGGGCATAGGGAAAAACCCACAAGCGACTGGTCGCAACGCCGCTTTGAGGTGCATCACCTTGGGAAGCCACTCTGCGTTTGATTTTTATTGATGTTCCGCTGTCGTAAAAGGCCTGCCAGATCAAAGGTGGGTAAGTGCGGATATTTCAAAATCCTTTCATTAGTCAACCATTGGTATCGGTGTTATAGTTGAGTTAATTCATAGAAACTTGAGATAGACATGCTGTGATCATAATGTGCAGGAATCAATATGGGTCGTTGCTAATTCCCAATTTGTTAGCATTTCCATACATTGGTTTGTTAAAGGATCATAGGAGCACATTTGGTACCTTTAATTTGCACCTAAAGAATGGTTTTCCCCTCAGTTTGAATTACCAACATGAAAATAACATTTATATCAAGCCCAATCTTAGATTAGCAAATTTATTGCAATCAAACTTTATTTTGGTGTATTTATGAATATTCATTGATTCCTACCTTACCTATAGAACATTTGTTTGTATTATATTCAATGAAGCTGTAATCATATATCCCATTTATTTTCGAATCCTTTTTTGTTTTTTATTATCGCTCTTGCCCTTAAATATTTACCACACATATCTAAATTTTTCTGCACTGGCGTATGACTGTATTTTTAGGCACACTTATTTTTAGTGTTTATGTTTGTTAGTCTAGAGCGAATGTATCTCATATGAACTCGAAGATTATCGGGGATCCATTGAGTTGTATTACTATGTACTTAGCGGTACTTTTCTTTTCCACATTAGTTGATACGAAAAAATATGCGTGAAAACTTGTCTAGTCGATCCTTAGAATCTTCATATGTTTGGCAGAAATCACTTTCCCCCCTTTAGAAAATTAGAAACATGCATTGTGTTTCATTTGCTGTTCTTAAATTGTGTACATTATATTTATTATATACACACAAACTATTAGAGAGGTTGAGTACTAGAAATAAATTATAAGTGACGGAATTCGGTTTATAATTTTATATTTTTTCTTTATATTATTTTGTTGGTCTTTCTCTTGAATCATATTTAGCACAAGTGTATTTAATTTTTTTTACTATTAGAAAGGAAAGCACACAAATAAGCATATCGTTTGCAGAGAGTACATTATTCTCATCATCGCATATTGTACGGATAGTTATTAAAAGCGGCTGTTTATTTGTTTATTATCTGAGGGAAAGTATCATGTCTCTACTGAAACTTTTGGAGCCGCAAGCTCCACCACTAAGGGAAAATCAAATGATTGCATTTGATTACATAGATAATAATAACGAATGGCGATGGTCTCTCGGAACCATTCTCAAAATTGACAAGCACAGCGCTACCCTGCAGCGGTGGGACACACTAGGGAATAATGATACTTTGAAGAGCATCATATTAAAGGAGCTTGAAAGAGAAACTAAAATGCTAGATACTTTTAGGGGAAATCTTTGTGTTGCGCGAGACACGCTTGCAGCGATTCGTAGTGCCAACGAGGACCATGTGTCACAGGTGCGAGTAGATTATGATCAAGCACGCATTAATGTTGAAAACATCAGTGAGGTGGACCTCAGGAACATGATATCGAAGGCAGTTCCCACACCAATAGCTATGGCTGTTTTGAGGGGCGCGATGGCTGTTGCAAAGTGTGATCCTTACATCGATGAGTTTTATGATTGGACTGATATTCAAATTGAGTATCGAAAAAAACGCATGTTTCCAGGAGTCAAAGTTGATATTATCGCTAAGAAATACCCCTATGCCAAAATACTGAGACAACGATTTCTTTTAGATCCACATTATTCCCTTGATGCCGCCAAACGTGACTCATTTGTCACGGGTGCGCTTCATGAATGGATTACCACAGCTTTAGCCTACCAAGAGGCATACAATAACCTAACAGAGGATGGGCGTATACAAGCTCAAAATAATGCAATTGCCGCTTCCATAGCTGGAATCAGGGCCAGCCGTGCGAAGATTGCGACTCTGAAAAAAGAGCTATCAACAACATTACATAATACATTCCCAAAACAAGTGACTTCGTTCACAAAGACTTCCATCTCAACAACCATTCCACTTTCTGCAGTTATTTGCCCTATTGGGGCGGACAGCAGTATGGAAGGGTGCGCATTGACTAATGACGAAGTGCATGCCATTTTGTCTGAAGCGAAGAGGGATAGATATAGCTTAAACTTTCAATTAAACTCTGTAGCTGACAGCTTGGTTGAAACACTTGCTGAATTACATACGCTTTCCATATATATGACAGATTTGGAGGAGAGACGACTCTCCCTGCAGGAGCATTATTTCCTATTGATCCAAGGGTATGGAAGCAATACTATAGATTCAAAAGGACACATAAACACTGAGAAAGAGGTATCCAAACTAGAGCCCATCGAAAGTGAATATAACCGAGTCTGTCATGAGAGTCATGATGAAACGCAGCCAATGGTTAGCTCAAGTCATCAAAATTTTTTTCATGGAATAGATTGGAGACTAATTCTTTCTGAAAATCAAGAAGAGTTTTTGTTAGCTTTTATCAAAGATGCCTCAGCTGCTTGCAGTCTTTCAACGGAAACGCTCCATAACATATCTTTTTCGTTTAGACATGATGGGTTACTTGTAGCATGTGACGTTACACACCCAGCCTGGATGAGCTGTGATTATGTTGATACCTGTTTGGCTCGTGCCTCATGGAAAAATATATTAACTCTACGTGCGTCTCAAAATATTTCTGAAAGCACACTTGCCTCGATAATAGCTGAAACACGCTGTGATTTACGACTCAATGAGTCAGGTTTTCCGAAGATAGCACCCCCCCGATCTAGCACTGAAGCCTATAGTGATTCCTCTTGTGTGACTCAAGGCCCCCGTGAAGGTAAGATAAGTGACATTTTGATTCCTTCACATAGCATGAAAAATGAAAATACCTCTCTAAAGTATATATTAGAAAATTCATCAAGCCAGTTGAAAGCACAATTAGAAATGTTAGTGATAGAACGGGATAATTTGAAGGCAAGGAATGAGGAACTAATTCACGAAGTTCAAAAATTCCGTAACTTGATCGAAAGTCCAAACAACGTATCAAACAATCAAAACATAGAGCGCAAGCTTTGGAGTGATCAACAAATGCATGAGCAACGAGACGTTGAGTTATACATACAATCTAGAGCCGCAAATCTATCCTACTCTGAAATTAACGATAAACAAGCACATCAAAAAGAACCACTTAAAGCAGCTGATAAAGACGGAAATGATTTAATGACGATTCTGCTAGAAAAGCAAAAGAAGCTAGATCAAGTAGAGTGTGATTTGAAACGAACAACAGAAGAACTCCACAGAGCAAATACATATACTTACAGCTTAGAAAGGGGAAAAAGTAAATCCCTAAGTGAAGAAACGGCGAACAGAAGAGAATGGCAACTAGCCAAAGAAATCATTATGCTAAATGGACAGCTAATGATAGAAGAAGAAGATTCATCAAAAAAAAAAAATGCCTGCATCAAATAGAGTACCGTCTAGAACAGGAAGACAACAATACTAATACAAATATAATAAATGAGTCACTATATTTTATAACCAAAGAAACATACCAGAAAGCTATATTGACAATAAATGAAAATCACAGGGAAGCCGAAAAACTCACTAAGGAACTGGAGCAGCAGAAGGCGGACAGCGAGAGGCTTGCCGAGGAGCTGGAGCAGCAGAAGGCGGACAGCGAGAAG